AACAACCATATATTACTATAGATTTCATAAAATTTAGAAACAACTCGTCTTAGAAATTTTATTAAAAAAAAGTTGGCGTCTAAAGGGCATTTGGATAAACTTTCACATTGATTTTTCTTATAATAAGTGGATTCTCAAAGGTACTTCCTTTTATTGGCCCCACCCAAACATGGTATGTGTAATTAAGTGAGGGTTCGTGTTAAGATTAAATAAGAGATGAATTTAGAAAATCTTAACAACAATCAAGTTTGATCAGATCTGGATTGACAGGATCAGACGGTGCATCTCNCGATAGGATCAGGCGATGTATCTCGGAGTGTCATTTTTCTATACTTCTAAATGGCCGCCCATGTGTTTTTTTCCCTCCTCACGAGGGCTCAGACATGGTGATCCCATTTCGCCATCATTATTCATCATACCTATAGATTACTTCTCACGCCTGTTCACTTAGAGGTTTTAGAAGTATTCCAGTATGTGATGATATAGACATGGAGGTAGTACGCTTGTCTCACACCTTTCATTTGCTGATGATATGATCATATTCGCCAATGTTTAGAAACAATCGATTATGAGGGTTCTTGATCGTCTGAAACATTACGAGAGGTTTTTTTGTTAGTTGGTGAATAGGGACAAGAGCATATTTATTCTACGCAGATGGACATCTATTATTCAGATCAGGCGATTGAAGATTTTGACTGAATTTCGATACCAGCGGCACCCTTTCACTTATTTAGGGGATCCCTTATTTAAGTGGATTAAGACAAACTTCATTTATGATGATCTTATTCAGAAGGTTACAGATATGATCGTAGGTTGGGCTTCACGACGACTATTATCACATTGGGGCTGCATTACTTTGTTGAGGTCAGTCTTTCTTCCATACCATTACAGCTTATTTAGATTATGCAGCTCTCCAAGATTGTCCTAAAAAAACTTGAGAACATCTTTGCGCAAATCCTGTGGGACTCCAAGGAACAGGCGCGGCGATTACATGGCGGAGCTAGAAGGAGATTTTCATTCCTATTGATAAGGATGGTCTAGGCTTCAGGAGATTAAAAGATATGGTGGACACCTTTTTCATAAAGCTCTGGTGGTTGTTACGTTCTCATTGATCACTTTGGGCCCAGTTTTTATTGGGTGAGTATTGTATGTGGACACATCATTTACTTGTAACAGTTCCTTACTCATCTTCTCCTACTTGGAAGATGTTGAAATTAGTTGGGGCCCTTACAAAGCCACACATTATATGGGTGATACCACGTTGACCTCCTTATTTCCACATGGAAGCACACATCTGCGATGGTGCAAATTTTTTTTGATGATACTGGGTGGGATATTGGATTTTATTATAAGTTCTCTCTCCTTTTACGGCGGAGCAAATATGTGCTATACATTTATGTGTAGATGCCCCGGATCACATTGTTTGGAGGGATACATTGAATGGTAGCTTTTGCTACGAAGTCTGCATGGCAACTCGTACGTTCAGGATCCTACTATCAGGATTTATATCGATTACTGTGGAGCTTCATTTTGCCCATCACTGTCTTATTTTTCTTCTGGAGATTATTGCAAGACTTCATTCCAGTAGATGTGATTATTCGGAGGAAGGTTGGATGTCATTTGGCTTCCCGCTGCTAATATTATTTCAAGATCGAGGCTATCAGTAATATTTTCACCTGCAGTAACATCTCCGATCAAGTATTGCAACAATTTGGGAATATTTTTCAAATACCTATGAGTTTTGGAGAGGGAATTAGACAGAGGTTTCAGAGATGGAGGTATTTTGGACAGTATGTTCGTTGTTGACACATTCACACTATCATTCCTCTGCTGGTATTTTGGTTTCTATGGACTGAGAAGAATGTTGCAAAGCATATGGAGATCCGCAAGGTGGCCAAACGTATCATATGGAGGGTCTATCACATGATCTCTTTTCTTCATATGGGAGGACTGTCTTGAGCTGTGCATTGTCGAGGGGAATTGATACCTGCACCCATCTTTGGTATTTCTTTGATTCCCCCCTCCCTATCTTCTCATATTCTGGGTTTGGTGACGCATTCCATTAGTTGAATCTGTCGAGATTAATATTGATGCTTCATCAGGAATCACGCATGACACTGTATCAGGGATTTTTCAGCTTCGTATGACCGTGCATGATATTAGAGGTAGAGCTCAGAGCTATTCTTGATGGGATTTTACTAGCAAGAGGACTCGATCTTTCAGACATTTGGAATGAGTCAGATTCTATAGTGGCTATTCACTGCATCATTAGAGGAGAAGGACCATGAGCTATTTAGGGCATACTCAAACAGATCACAAACATCGTATCATTCGACAGAGACACAATTTTCCACATCTACAGAGAAGGAAATCAGGTTGCAGAGGGTTGTGATCATCGGCAATATCAGTTATATGGAGCAGTTGACCTTTACAACATATTAGGACATTCGTACAGATGACAGACATGGACTGCCCAACATTAAAATATGATTTTTCATTTTTTATTCTTGTTTTTGTCTTTACTTGCATTATTTCTCATTGTAAGGGAAGTAGTACTTTATTTTTTACAACTTTACATTTATCACTTATCATTTATTTTCTTTGTAAGAGAATTAGTACTTCTTCATTTACTATTTTCATTATTTTCTCGTGTAATTACGGCATTCCTCCGCCACAAGTGAAGGCATATTAACAAAATCTCAGACCATCGCTCTCCTTTAACTTTAAAAAAATGTAATTAACAATTTGTATTGACGCCCATTTGGCCAGATAAACATTTTATGGGCTTCACGTCAAATTTCTTGTTACTTTCACTAAATTATTGATCATAATGTTATAACTTTATTGATTAAATGAGAGGAAAATACTTTAAAAGGACACAATGCGAAATTTTGTACAAACTTCAGCAATAATTGAATACTTTTATGACATTAGATAGAAGATAGCATGGTATTATAAAATCTAAATTTCATCAACTTAATTAGCATCATTCCTACATGTTTTTTCTAATTAATACCCCTTTTATTTATAAAATTTCTTATCAAAATAACATTCCTCCAATTTTTCTTGAAACTAAATCTGAGTGGAACCCTAATCATGAAGCACTTCAATTTCCCTTTAAAACCATCTATAACTACAGAGTTGCCCAACTTATTCTTGAAACCCTAACCCTCTATCCCCAAGATGCAGGTTTCCTCTTTATAGTTTGTGATGTTAATCTACCTGTTTATTCATTATTCCATACAGGCTAAACCAGGATACAATCAACTGTCACCCAAAATGTTTAGAAGTTTGTCCATTTATTTATATCTCTAGCATGCATCATGCACAACCAACTACATGTTTTTATTTGCTTGTGAAATGAATAAAATATTGTCTAAGGTGAATGGAAAGAGTTGTATTTAATTAGGTCAATTAAGATAGATATAGGTTATCCAAGGTGACCTAGATATGCGACCTTGGAAAATTATAATTTTTAGGCCATATATCTAATTCCATGTAGTAATTTTACAGTGGAATAAAAACAGAAGGATTGTCCAAACAATATTTTTTTAATAATCTAAGCATCTAATAGACGGAAATTTTTTTTTAATATAAATAGAGCATAATGCTTTCTTTTCTCTAGTACTACAACTTCCCTATATAAAAAAACTGGTTTCTTATCTCGTATGTAATACAACATAGAATATATGATTCTTCAAATTACAGTCTCTTATTACCCTTTTTCTAATAGCCGCCTTCTTGTAGTGCGTGCTTTCATAAACAAAGGTGATCTCGACTATCACTTACGAGAACCTACTGGATCAATAGGGAGGGCGGGGTGGTGCCGGCCAAGCATATGCATCATGATTCAATTGGCCACCATTTGGTAACAAATTCGGGGTTAAATTATACATTGACAGTGATGAAGGATCAGGTATCCCGTGCTGATGTTGCCCTCCACTGGATCCAATTCCACGTAACTGCGCCTGGCTGGATCCACCGGCTTCATCATCTTCTTCCAGAGGCAATCTTTCATATGTCGCATTAGAAAAAGTGGCAGCAATGACCATAACAGGCCCTGCTGCAACAAGTGGCCCTATTACACTTCCACCCACCACCTGCCCCTGACCACCAGCTAAGTACACCGTGAGTCCAGTCGCACCCGGAGGGGCTGGACCGGGCAGGAAAGCCCCATTTAAGGACAAAATTTCAAACCTCCCTTGAAGTACCACAGCAGCACTAGGTGCAGCCGGCTGTCTTATGGTCACGTTGGCTACTGAGCCACTACCACTTAGCACACACACCCCGCGTTGACGCCTTCTTGCAAACTGGGCTATGCTTTCCGCAACATCAGTGCCACCAGCTACCTCCATTACATGGCTGCGAAGCGCGTTAGGGCTATCCTGGGTGACATATATAGGTGGTTTAGGTTTGTTCTTGGATCCGGGAGGCCGTCCTCTGGGCCTACGAGTGCCTACCTCAACAGAAGGCTCATCTGCGTTGTCTTTTTCTTCATCTTCATCATCGCTTCTTGTTCTGCTTCTTCCTCCAATTCTTTCATTCCTTGATAGCTGATTCCTGTTGTGCATAAACATCAGAGCTGAAGAAAGAAGAAAAAGATATATAATATGTTGATCTTTCCTTCCTCGTAAATTTCTTTGTTTACTAAATCAAATTCAAATATTAATTACACTCTTATCGATGATATCAGAGCAACAAAAATTGAACCCGGAAATTGTTTAGAATATCTATGAAAATCTTATGAGATCCACCCTCTACTTTTTCACATAGATAGAGAGATAGAAAGAGAACGAGTTGATGATGACGAGAGGAAGGAGATCCAAATATTTAAACCAAGAAATCTATTAAATCATCAAGTGGAGGAACACAAAGGAAAGATGCAAAAGGAGAAAAATAAATAAATAAGAAAAAACCCTCAAAGAGAATCACACATCGAACACAGAAGAAAAAAATAAAGCAGGTGAAAAATGAAAAGTACTTTGCACAAGAAAATCAAAATTATGAAACTTATAGCTTTTCTATGTTTGGCTCAAGTATTCAAATGAGGATCTTAGGTTTTTGTTTTCTTTATAGTCCTCTCTGGTTTTTACCTAGAAAATTAGGGTTTTTTAATGGTAGGGTCGCATGCGCGTGGGCAGGTCACTGTCCCAACATATTTAACGGAGGTGGACCTCTATCAACATTTCATATATAATATACAAGTTTCATTTTCATGCTTACTATACAAGTACAGAAAATTAGGTTTTAACCCTCGGTTGGTGGAGATTAATGATAAGTGTATTTTATACACTTATTCGGGGTCTAAAATAACAATATTTGATAATTCTTTTCGCAAAATATATCTTAAATTGTTGTATTTCGAGTTATATAGGTAAAACTCAATGGTTGGACGAGAAATGGAAAGAAAGAAGCGAAAAATGGTTAAAAATTATAAAATTTAAAGTTTAAGGATCCAATTGTAAATGCAATAGTTGATTTGGACCAAAAGATGATACTTTGAAGATTTCTATGAGACAATTGGGTGGAATTAGAATTCAAAAAGGAATGGAATATTATCACAATCAAGTTCAATCGCATAAGTTATATTCCAAATTTTTAGTCGAAAATTGAGACTTATTTTTATTATAGTAAACGTCCGAATTGAGAATATTCTATCTCTATAAAAGTTGTAGCCCTTTAAGTTATCTTTTCAACTCACTTTGAATCGATTCAGTTGGATATCAGACGAGAAAGTTATGGCCAAAATACTGACTGCTGTGTAGAGACAAAAAATATGCGTACAAATGCAACTTTCTTTATCCGATTAGAACTCTTTTGAAAGTCAATTTGGACGTGATTTTCCACCCATTTTCAATTGTTACAAATAAATAATAGCAGAATACACATTGGAAGACTCTCATGTACATAATATACTCCATTATTTATCAATTATTATCATCAAATGAGGAGAATTCATAGTTTTTGTGAGAGAATTGAAGGAGATTTGCAAGAATTCATTCAAGTGAAGATTCAAGCCTAATTTTTGGGCAAAGAAGAGAAGGCGCGAGTGGAGATTCATCAAGAAACCATTGAAGAGATTTAAGATTTCAAGATTTATCTTCATGTTCTCAATTTATCAATAATCTGGGTTATGTCTTTT